GATAAAGTTATGGTATTTTTTTCATGCGCACAGAACATATAATAATAGATTAGATGAATAAGCCTTTGTAAATTTTAATTGTTAGTTACTATCTTTGCTGACCGAAGTGTTGGAGCATAATCTTTTGTGGGCAAAGACCCACTTCGTCAGATGCAAGCAGTGGAAATTTCCAGAGGCAGGTATAAATATGCAGGCCAGAATCAGGCTGGAGATGATGAGGTGGGTCCAATCAGGGAGGATGAGGCCCACTTCTAGTGGCTGATCTGGAGGTGTGAATTCCAAGAGAGGAGAAGCTGCTTTTCTAGTTAGCTAGCCATTCACAGTCTTTGTTTAATCCTGAGTTGATTGTGTCAAACTTGAAGATGAACTGTAGCTCAGCAGTTTCTCTTTGAAGTCTGGTCCTGAAGTTTTTTTGCTGCAGGATGGCTACCTTTAGATCTGCAATTGTGTGTCCAGGGAGATTGAAGTGTTCCCCTACAGGTTTTTGTATGTTGCCATTCCTAATATCTGATTTGTGTCCATTGGTTCTTTTATGCAGGGACTGTCCAGTTTGGCCGATGTATATAGCAGAGGGGCATTGTTGGGACATGATGGCATATATAACATTAGTGGATGTGCAGGAGAATGAACCCGTGACAGTATTGCTGATCTGGTTAGGTCCTGTGATGGTGTTGCTGGCGTATTTATGTGGGCAGAGTTGACACGGAGGTTTGTTGCATGAATTGGTTCCTGAGTTAGAGTTAATATGGTGCGCTGTATAGCTGCTGGTGAGAATATGCTTCATACAAATTCACAGGGCAACATACAAAAACCTATAGGTGAACATTTCAATCTCCCTGGACTAGAAGTAGGCCTCATCCTCCCTGATTGGATCCACCTCATCATCTCCAGCCTGATTCTGGCCTGCATATTTATACCTGCCTCTGGAAATTTCCACTGCTTGCATCGGACGAAGTGGGTCTTTGCCCACAAAAGATTATGCTCCAACACTTTGGTTAGTCTATAAGGTGCTACAGGACTCCTTGCCACTTTTGCAGATTCAGACTAACATGGTTACCCCTCTGATACTATCTTTGCTGGTAACTCTTGGTCCTCTTGGGTTGAGCCAGAGGAACACAGAGATTGTTTGAAAGGAATGAGTAGTGGAGCAGGGGCTGAAGGAATATGAATCTGAAGTGGGACATGAGCTCAAGTGTTCTTGAGTCATTGTGGTGTGATGCCTGCAAAAGAAGGCGAGAAAGTGCATAGAGTGGGGATGGTACAATAGTAAGACTCGAGTTAGGAAATTAGAGAGCATAGAGAAGATATAGAATTTGAGTTGGGAGGTCAAAAGATATTAAGAACAAACAACAGAAGGGGAGGGTGGAATGGTTAGTGCAGAAAATCCAGGGTAGGCAATGAGGGGATGGAGGGTATCAGGTGGATGCAAGGTATTCAGTCGAAGGATGGGAAAGCATCGTAGCATCCTGCATAGCCTAGAAGGCATTGAAAAGGAAAGGGACATGACAGCTAACAGAATGTACAGAGGTGTGGGGGCAAGATGGAATAGGGTCGCAATGTGTTCCGAAGTTTACTGAGGAAATATGAAGGAAGTGGACTTCTGGGAGAGGAGAGGTTCAAAGAACGGTGGGAGGCCTAGTGGAGGAATAACAAGACGCATAAGGCTTTAGGAGAATGGGTAAAAATATGGATATAATATCTAGTACCCACTGGATTCTTCAGTCTTCATAAATGCAAAACAATGCAGAAGACAATAAGTATTTTATGGTTAAACAATGCAGGACTGAGCCATGAGAACTATCTTTGTAACTTTATCCTTTCAGTGGAGTTACTGTGGATTTACTCTAGTGTAACAGAACAGAATTTGTCCATAAAATTGTTTAGCTGTACTATCTGCTATCCTTCATCTTGACGGTAACAAGGTATTTGTTTTCCTGTCTACCTATCTGCTATTTGACAGAAGGTGTAATATGTCCTGTCAAAAATAAATAAAAAATTTGATAAACTAAGGGACCAAAAAAAAACCAAAAGCAACATAATAGACAGTTAGCAAACAAATGTGGGTTACAATAAATTTCTTACAGCTGTTTTGTCTGAAGTAATATTAATCAGATATGTACGTATGAAAGCTGCAACTCACCTAAAAAGAAGAAAGGATTAAGAGATGGAAAATGTTAAAATGATTCTATTTATATTTTTCCTAGTATTCACATTGTTTGTGATGAATAGATTACACCATATAACAGCAAACAATCAGAAAGAGTTCTTGCTCACTCAATGTACTGCAAATAAAAATTTAATGAAACATCATCAGGAAAAGAACAGAGGAAAAAAATAGAATAAAGATTGAATGTTTACACTAGTTTAGTCTGATTCAGAGTCCTTAGTAACTGATTTCTGATCAATAGTATTATCGTTATTGAGTCAATGACAAGATCTTATGTTTTAACATGAGGCGCATGCACTTAAATGAAGGCCATTGATTATTAAATTGACACAATTTACACTTGAATTCAAATTCTGTCTTTCCATGCAATGCTATTGATTTCAGAAGGCAGAATTTGGGCCCCATTATTTTACTTTGGCTTTGATTTGCAAGTGGTTTAAAAACTTTCATTTCTGAATCAGCTGTATAATTGACCTTGTTGCTTACTTGAATTGATCAATATTTTGTAAAAGCAGAATGTGTTAAATTATCTTATATATTCTTATTTCAGTGTCTATTGAAAAATATAGCTATGATTAGCTGATTGGCTTAAGACTGTCTTCACATATAGTAGCACAGCTTTACCACTTTATTGATGACACTAAATCACCAGTGGAGAGCTTATTCTGTCACTTGACATAGTTAATCCTTCCCCCAAAGAGGTGCTAGACATGTTGATGGGAGAATTTCTTCCATCAGCTTGGCTCAGTTTACACAGGGGCTACGTCTACACTGGCATGATTTTTCGGAAATGCTTTTAACGGAAAAGTTTTCCGTTAAAAACATTTTCAGAAAAGCACGTCTAGATTGGCAGGACACTTTTCCACAAAATCACTTTTTGTGGAAAAGCGTCCGTGGCTAATCTAGACGCGCTTTTCCGCAAAAAAAGCCCTGATCGCCGTTTTTGCGATTGGGGCTTTTTTGCGGAAAACAAATCTCTGGTGTCTACACTGGCCCTTTTGCGCAAAAGTTTTTCGGAAAAAGACTTTTGCCTGAACGGGAGCAGCATAGTATTTCTGCAAAAGCACTGACAATCTTACATGAGATCATCAGTAGTTTTGTGGAAATTCAAGTGGCCAGTGTAGACAGCTGGCAAGTTTTTCCGCAAAAGCAGATGATTTTGCGGAAAAACTTGCCAGTCTAGACACAGCCAGGATGTTTGATCAATATAAGAAGCGGCTCATGGCTGTGGATTTTTTGCATCCCTGAGGGTACGGCTACATTAGGGGGAAAGATTCCAAAGAAGGTTTATGAATTGCATTCACATTTGCATATCTTCTTCCAATTCTTTTTTCAGAAGAGGATTTTCTGATATTTGGCCCATCTATGTGGTCCAAATGTTGGAAAAAACCCTCTTTCTGAAGCCCCATTATTTCTCGTAAAATGAGGTGTACAGGGGGCTTCCGAAAGAGGTTTTTTTCCAACATTTGGACCACATAGATGGGCCAAATATCAGAAAATCCTCTTCTGAAAAAAGAATTGGAAGAAGATATGCAAATGCGAGCACAATTTGCATACCTTCTTAAAAAACTCCCCCACAGTGTGGCAGTAACCTGAGTGACAAAACTATACCAATATAGTTTTGTAGCATAGGCCTGGCTTTCAAAAAGGACCAGAAAAAACAGTGGATAATGTCAGTCAACAATCTTATATTGGCAACAGAACAGGCTGAAAGTATTCTTATAATTTTTTTCTAGCTTTAATTTCCATGAGCCAGAGTCTGGTATCATGTCTGAAACCGGACCAACTTCATTGAAACCAATGGTGTTACTCCAAATTTACATTAGTGTATGTAAGTAAGAGATGCTGAAAAACATAAGAAATTTTCAGAAAACTTGTTATTTATTCATATTCTTGCTCATTATTTGCTCAGAAATACATAAAATTCTATAAGAATTATTAGCTAGGAAGTATTGGCACTATTTAACAGATAGACAACTCAGGCAGTGACTTGCCGAAAGTGACTTGACACAGGAAGTGACTTGACACAGGAAGTCTGTGGCTGAGGCAGAAATTGAACCAAGTCTTCCCAATATCAGTCAATTGCCCCAAATACTGTTCATCCTTTCTTTCTCCTGTGCTAATCAAAACCCTGAAGACAGAGGGAATAGCGAACACTTGGTCATTTGAAAAGCTCATAGGGGACTGTGACCGAGCGGCGCCATTGCACACTGTCCAAGTTGGTGCGGCCACTCTCCCCCCCTCCGTCCAGGGAGGGTCTGTACCCACCACCCTCCAGGTGCAACGCCCTTCCCGGCGTGTAGTCAGAGTTTAAGTACAGTCTAAGGCGGGACACGTATTCTCCGTGTAGCCTTGTCGGTGCCTGGACCAACAGGGGGAGGGGGGCTCAGGCCCTCCCCCACTCCAAGCCCTACCCAGGGCCCTAGGAACCAAGGGAAGTCACTTCTCCTACTGTTCGGTTGGTGGGGGAAGCTCCCCACAACGCACCAACCCACGGGCCATCCACGGCCGCGCCCTGGGTCTCTTCCTACCTCCTGTGGTCAGCAGTCTGCTGTCTCTCCCATCCAGTGGTTCCTCTCACTGGGAGCCGCCTCCTCTCCTTCAGCCAGCTCCTGCCTTTTGAGCCGTCCCACCAGCTCCGCAGCTGACGCCGCGGGGCTGCCCAGCGCCCAATCCCAAACTCTCTCAGGGTTGTGTGCCCCCAGCAGGGTGGGCCTGGATGGGTCTTCTTCTGGCTTCCCCCCGCTCCAGGCAGCCAGCTGATGCTGCGTCTCCTGCGGAGGGGCTGGAGCCTCCTGGATGCAGGCACAGCAGCACCAGAGCCACGGCTGGGGGCCCCCCTCTCTCCAAAGGGCCTGGGACAGTGCAGCTCCGTAGCAGGGCGCCAGAGCCTCCCTGTTACAGGGACACATCTGGAGTCAGTCAGTTGCCTTCTATTGGCCTTGGGGCTTCCTTTGCACCCTGGTAAGAAGAGTCACACAAACAGACTTCCTCTCATTCAGAACCAATTAGTTACAGTTTAAGAATGGCTTTAACAAGTACCCTTACCCTCAGCAACAGCATAGTACTTAATGTACTGATGTCAAGCCATTGTGTAAATCAGCCATCTTCAGTATCCTGAGAACTTCTTATTTTTTGGATGTAATTTGTTTTGTCAAGTGATTGTATGGTAGGCTGTCTTTTGAAATTATTAGGGCACAGATATTTTTAAAGGAATATTTTAATAGTGCTTTTTTGCTCTCTTTCCCAAATGAGTGCTCACAATTTTTGGCAATCAGCTTGACAGCCTCTAAGGGTGCATCTATACTGCATCCGTAGCTTGAAATAAGCTACATAATATGAACTATGCAAATTGCATAGCTTATTTTGAGTGAATTTTGAAATAGCTTATTTCAAAATTTAGCACTGTCTACACGGCACTCGTTTTGAAATAAATTGCTATTCCAAAATATCCTTTACTCCTCATGGAATGAGGTTTACAGGGATGTCAGAATAGCGAGCCCATTATATTTTGAAATAATGTGCTCCTGTATCTTGTTCCATATTTAACAGTCTCTTTACTCTCTTTAAAGGAAGGCAAATCTACAAACCTTCTGCTCATTCATTTAGAGCTAATTTAAGTACTGACTTGTACTAGAGATGATAGAATTATCTGGTAATGTTTTTTCACAGTGCTTCTACTGTACTTCTACAAAGAATCAAATCTATCACATGGGGAAAACTGATACTTATTTAAGAGAGGGTTTTTTAAGAGGTTTTAATTGTGCAAGTGTCTCCAGGTCTGTCAAACAAGTTCCTTGTTTCCTTATAACAGTGAGAAATGGGATCATAATCAGCTTCTTTCTTTGTATTTTCCTTGAAAAACATACTTCATAAAGACCTGTGCTGCCGGCAAGAGTAAGTCTGAGGTCCGACACTGGGTTCTCAAATTACAAAAAACGCTACACAGGTATCTGTCAAACACAAGCTGTTTATTTTCTGACAGCTATCAGCTGTGCCCCTTAACTAAAAGAACAACATGATAGGAAAAGCAACATTTCTTACATCCCTTTGGCTAACCGGGAACCCCGTTTTGGCTGTGGACAAAGTGGGAGACTGTCTCAGCTTTCGAGGCACTGGTACCCAAAGCCCATCGGTGAGGTCCAAATTGCTGTGCTCTGTTGCAGCTTTAAATACTTTGTCTCTACCTTGTTTGTAGGAGTTTGGAAATTTCCAGGGGTTAATCATTGCTTGTTACAGTATGGTTCAGCTGTACTGCTTGTCCTTTGACTTTGTTTACATGATCAGTACATTTAGGTAAATAAGATTATGTTGCTGCCCTTATCTATAATTCGTTCTTGCTACAATGGCGTATAAACCTAGAGGCTTGCCTCTAGCTCATCAGTAGTAGGGAGAACTAGGGGAGAATGGGAAAGGGGGGAGAATGCAGGCCTCACCACCCCTACTCTGAACACGTGCAGGCTGAAAGTAGGAATAAAAGATCCTCCGGAAAAGGGTTTATTTTCCGGAGAATCACGTCTATACTGGCGCTTTTCTCCGGCTTATCCCCAAGCCGGAAAAAAGCAGCAGCCATGTAAATGCAAATGCCGCAGGGGATATTTAAATCCCCCGCGGATTTGCAGTTGTGATGTGTCTCATTAGCATCCTTTTTCCGGAAAGGGATGCCAATGTAGACACAGCCACAGAGTTCTTCCGCAATTTACCCCTACAATCTTATGTTGAAAGGAAAGCCCTGCAAACTTATTTTAGGTTCTACAAAAAGCTATTAGCAATGAAATGTAAATATACAGACCTAAAAACAGTTGATTTTTCCCGTTAATGTTGTATAATAACTATAATTTTACCTGGGGGAAAGTAGCAATACGCTTCTGAATGCTGAGCTTAAAACCTTAAGAAAAATAGATCAGAGCTGCAAGCAGGATTCTGTTGTGGAATCTGTGTTTGAAAATAATAATAAAAAAAACCCTTAGGGCAGGCAGTTAACTTAGGGTATGTCTATACAGCAGTGTTATTTCAGAATAACTGACATAACATAGTCAGCATCTACACGGTAAGCAGTTATTTCTACGTAATGTCAAAATAATGTTGAGCTGAAGGACTTTTTACTTCGACTCCTGTAACCCTTATTTTATGAGCGGTAAGCAAAGGCATAGGAAGAGGCTCTCTTTAGGACTTCCTGCTGTGTAGACAGTGCCAAAACCGAAAAAACTATTTCAACTTAAGCTACACAATTGACATAGTTCAAGTTGCATAGCTTATTTTGACTTTAACCTATCCTGACTTTAGCCTAGGTACACATGCCCATAGTGTACCTATTAGTTGCTAAAAATGTTGGTAAATGATCACTATGTATATTTATTATATGTTGACGACTTGCTGTTTTGGGACAAGAGATAGCACTAACTTTTAAAGTCTGCTCCCCAATATTTTCTAGGGCTTGATGGGGAACTGTTTCCCATTCCACAACTATTTTTAAAGTTTGTTGCAAGTCATTATAAGGAAAAAAGGTCAAAGTCCAAATTTAAACGTTCAACAAATTAATCTTTTTCATTGATCAATTCAAATGTTTCACTTAGATAAATGTAAAATATTGTTTTTCAAATTTTCAACTTTTTATGTCTGATTAGTTTAATCTAGGAAAAATTCTTTTTGAATCCAACAAATTTTATGTTTTTTAGAAAATATCTCTACAGTTTTTTGGCACCTTTGAAATTGCCACAGTTCCAACCAGCTTTCTTTTTTCCCCTCAAAGACACTAATCCTACAAAAACATACATAAAGTGTCAGTTGTTTAAGACTTTTTTCAATGGTAAAGCTTACGAAAGTCTATGCATAGGTTTCAAGCCTGTAAACACCGAAGTGTCTGATCATGTATAACTAGAGTGAATGGGAATATTTCCATTAGTTTCAGTGAATACAGAACTGGGTCCTTATTTTCACTTATCCCATGAAGACAGAAACTTAAGATATATTTAAAAACCATAATAATTAGTCATTTGAAAATTTACTTTTTAGTAACTAAGTTAATCATATGAGTAGCTCAGAGTAGTTGATACAGCGCACAGATTTGTGAATTACATCCCTATGACTAAACATCACAATATTGTAATTTTTTTTGTGTCTGAGCATCATTAGAAATTCCATCCTAAATGTCACTATCTGCAGTCAGTGCACATATCTCTGTTTGGCCACATTGTGTCCCTAAGGGTATGTCTACACTACAAAGTTAATTCGAACTAACAGACATTAGTTCGAATTAACTTTAATAGGCACTACACATACAGACCGCTAGTTTGAACTAAATTCGAACTAGCGGAGTGCTTAATTCGAACTAGGTAAACCTCATTCTACGAGGACTAATGCCTAGTTCGAATTAAGTAGTTCGAATTAAGGGCTGTGTGACCACTTAATTCGAACTAGTGGGAGGCTAGCCCTCCCCAGCTTGCCTTGGTGGCCACTCTGGGCACCACCAGGGAAACTTGTCTGACCCCCTCCTGGTCCCAGAGCCCTTAAAAAGGCATGGTGTGGCTACGGTGCCTGTGCCAGGTGCAAGCCTGCCA